GTTTCCACCAAGTTCTAATAGGTCAGCAATTTTTGATTCTAAGAAAAAGGGCTGAAATTTGGATGCTTAAACTCGACAAAAACCATGCTAGAAAAAAAATTCTTTTACACATTGCTTACCAGTAACCATTAGAAACAACTTGGTGGAGTTTGAACCAAATGCTGCCATAAAAGTTTTTCCTGGTACACTTGACGAATGTTATTATTATTGTACAATTAAAAATAACATCGTTCCGGCGAGCCGTGTCGGATGTTGGAAACAAAGCAAGCGAGTTGTAACATTCTGAGGTGCGGAGAGCTTTTATTTGCCGAATATTTTTTAGCATTAGCTTAGAATACAACGCTGAGAAAATTCCTACCGGGCATGCTTGGCCGTACGCTGATTTGCCGGTAGTTAAGATAATGTATGCCAAAACATTTTGCAAAGTCACAGAAAAATAGATACAGATTTTGAGTGTTCGCATAACGAAAATTGTGGCTGACTGCTTTACTGTCCGCAATATTGCATGATTATTTTCAATGCTCTTGTTAACGCTTATTTTTATTGTTATATGTAACTGCTCATTTTTGTTGGCTGGTTAAGGGCCGGTTGTTCAATGTCTGGTTATCACTACTTGCCGGTTAGACATCATTATCGACAATTTCGACATCATGCGTATAACATGTGATCGATAAAGCAGTCGTTGTATCTAACCGGAGCTTCTACCTCCGATTTGTACTAATAAGACATTGAACAACCGGCCCTAAGAGTTCACTCCGTCGATACTTCGGATGGTCGCTGATTAGCCATTCGTAGTTACGATTTTGGAGTTTTACTTTTGCGGGTTTTGCTTTTTCGCGATTTTTCTACAAAAATTTTGCAATTTCAGACTTAATGCAGTTACATACATATATAATTCACATATACACATGTACCTATGCATCTCGTCGACGATTGAGTTTTTTCTAGCAGATCAGCTGAAGATATATATTTTGTAGCAGAAGCAGATTGCCGCGAGTAAACAAGTAAAATGAAAAGCTCAAATCAAAGCGAAATGAAAGCGAAGCATTGCAAAGAATAAAATAATAGGTACTGAATAAATCTACAATATAAAGTAAAATTGAAAAATAAAATATAAAATAAATAAACACATACGTAAATCGCTGGGTAGAAATCCGAAATCCGAACGCGAATAAGCTTTCGAACTTTGCAACTTCAGTCGCGGTGTGTAAGCGAGTCTGAGCAGATCGTTGTGGCGTTCATTCACTTTGTAAACGCGACACTAAAAACGTAGATTTTTTTATATTAAAAAAAATATATATATATGTGCATTTGATTACAAAATCACAAGTGAATTGAATGTGAACAGTGCAGTGAAGCGCGAAGCGAAATAAACAATAAAAACACGTTTTACGAGTTACTTGGCACATTTAATCAGTGACCTTTGAAGGCCTACGCTCTCTAGAAATACCGACGCACATACATACATATATAAACACACGTCTAAATAATTTTTTAGCACAGAAAACAATAAATCCAAATGGATCAAAAACGCGCTATGCTCTATCCGGATATCGATCCTGCACACAATGCTGCCACTCATGGTCATCGCATATCTGCCTCTGCTGCCATGGGCTTGCCAGCTGAGGCGCCTCCTTCATATGACTTTGCTATAGCATCCACTTCCACACCTACGCCGACGCCAACTGTGTCAAACACTAAAGGAGGAGCAGGCAGTGGTGCGCTGGGTTGGACACCTAGCGCACCGGCGGTGACCACACCTGAACCACAAGCGCCATCGTCTCAGCCATTACCACACCACGGCCAGACAAGGCCTGTGATTGTGGTACAACCACTGCCTCAACAACAAACACAATCACCAACAACACAAGTAGGTGAGTCAACACAGCAGCTTATTTAGCACTTCATTTATTTATTTATTTTTTCATTTTGAAATTTTAATTTTTAACTTTTGCGTAATTGCGGTTTCTCTTTGCTTTGGTTCGTCTACTAAATTGCTATTGTATATAAACAAATTATTTAATAAGTGTTTAAGTATGTGAATGCAAGGCAGCACCTTTTTTATAGAATTTTTGGCAGCTATTGACCTGGGCTTTAATGGGATATCCCCGTCCTCGACAACTTTTAGACTAATGTCTTTATTGGCGGGTAGGCCCTCAAGGCCACTTGTAGGCTTAAAATAAAACCAAGGGACAGTATGCCATCATTGCGTTTGCTCAAAAGATACTACAATACTAGGTTTCCTGAGGCTGCGTGCTGACTTAACCCGAAGACGAACTTGTAGAATATTTATTGACACAGGCACATGATCTGAAGTCTATATTGAAGGTGACGGGATAGGCCTTCACTTCTATCTTGAGGAATTTGCCTCAGGCCATGGAATACGTGGTAGCAAATCGGCGGAGGGGTAGGAGTTTACACTAATCTGAATTCAAGGCATCGCAAGGTACGATTAAATTATGTTAGAAAACATAACGAACTTGATTTACTCGGGAGTGCCTTGTTATGAGACATCAGGCTATCTAGCTAGTGAGTTCTCGGTCCAGGTATTCCTTGATCCGCCACCTGTGCCAGTTGGTCAACGAAGTCAACATCAGAAACTGGGTAAATATTTCGAATATTTGAGAGGCTTCGATGGACCGCAGATGGGCGAAACTCGGCGAAACTCATGTTACTCTGGCGAAACTCATGTTACTCTGGACATGCAGATGAGACTTCATACAACTTGCGGGACTGCTGACTAGTCACTTATCGTAGAAAAAACACCTGGCAGTGATCGGCAATCATCAAACCCTCATTAGCTCTTCTGGGCTTCACTTTTTGGACCCGCCTTTTCAAGAATTAGTTATGAAGCATTTTCTTCCGTTGTTTTGTGGTAGTTTCAACCAAGAAAATAGTACTTCTCATACATTTATGATCACAGCCTTGTACAACTGTACTTTCGTCAGAGGCAACCGCATACCTAGTAAAGGTGGGTCCATCGGCACTTGTTCTTTCTAGTGTGTTTTTAGCCACCCTTGCTTTCGTCTCCCACCCATTGGTTCGTGATTATATCTTTTTCTGTAGCCGCCACCCGAAAGCCCTTTCAACATCGTCCACATTTCTACGCCACATAAAATTTAATCTTTTTTAAATCTGCACGATTTCCGAATAAACCTAAGCAGATTGTTTGGTGTCAAAGAGCTTAGGTATTCCCTCCGTCCCTCAACACATCGCGGCCAAATGTCTCATACCAAGGATGGGGCAGAAGCACAAAAAGTGGTCCACTGTCTCATCCTCTTCAAGGCAGGATGGGAAAACGGAGTTGTCATAAATGCTTATCAAATGGAGGTGTTTGTGCCAGTCAGCAGTCCAACAAGTTGTCTGCAGTCCCGTCTGCTCAGTGTGAGCAATAAACTAGATAGAACCTCTGAAATTAAAGGCAACATGAGTTTTGTCCACCTGCAGCCCTCGATGCCTCCCAGTCATTGCTGAGCGAAATATTCACTCAGTTTCTGATGATGGCTTCGATAACCGAAGGTGGAAGTACGATAACTGGTTGTGGACCGAGGAACAACTGGTCTGAGCCAGTTCTGGCCAAATGGTCATATGCCTCATTTCCAATACTCCCGAGTGAGCTGGAGCCCAGAGTAAAACAAGCTCGTTATGTTTGTCAACATGATTTAGTCGAGACTTGCACTGGCGAACTAGTTTGGAAGCAGTTAGAAGGCTGTCCAATGTCTAAGTGCAGCTTGGCTGTCACTGCAGGCACATAAACTACTTCCCCTCCAGTTTTGGAGCCATCAGTGTAGATTCGACAATGTGTGTGTCTGGCCTCAGTGCTGGTGTTAAACCAACGTTCAGCCCCAGGGAATTCAACATTATAGAATCTCTTCAACAGAAGTAATGGTGGCGTACTATCATGTAGCATTGAAAATACACAAATGTGTAAATCTCAGCCGCAAGCAATTTCCGCCCCACCCCACTCAGTGTTATACCAACATCCGTTTCTTTTTAGTCTGCAGGTGGCCTTTAAGGCATCCCCACGTAAGAGGACACAAAGTGACGGTGAGTGCAGCAGTGCATTAAGAGAGCAGCGCCAGGTGTTGTAGAGAAAGCTCTCGTACAGCGCCCAGCAATAGTTCTTTCAAGTTTAGCAAGCAGACTTCCCACACTACTGATTGAGAGTCTGCTCCACCATACCACTGATGCATAACTGCAAATGGGTCAGATCATAGAGGTATACATACAGGGGATTCCCTTTGATGACAGACCCCACAATTTGCCAAAGACCTGTTTACATTGCAAAAATGCTGCCAGTGCTTTGGAGGTCTTGTATTCCACGTGAGATTTCCACGATAGCTTTGTCTTCAGAATTACTCCTTGATACTTCACTTCGGGAGAAGTCTGAATTGTGACTCCTATAAGTGTTAGGGAATGAGACCATCGAACCCTCTCCTTCTAATGAAGATCACAACAATAGTTTTGTTTAAGTTTGCGGTGAGCCCATTTCCATTACACCAAGTGTCAATCATATTCATTATTGTCTGCGCTTTCATGCAAACAGCCGGCAGAGATGGACCCGTCAGCGTAGATATCAGAATAGTTAATCATCATCTGCATTCTTGTGTCTTCAACAAAGCACACAGATATTCCCATTTTCGAGCATGTATTCATTTAATCAAATCGCGCTTAACACCTGATGCATGCGCCCTACCAGCTCATCGCCGCCGACATCGAACAGTTTAGCCGGTGTGTCGTTTCTATCGGAGCCTTGTTCTTTTTAAGCCCAATAACGGAGAGGCGTTAGCATTCGGTGTTGCCGGAAAAGGTTATAAAATTATGGAGTTTATTAGTAATGATTAAATTTCGATCAATTCATACAAATATTTTGCAGGGAGTCCCTTTATTATACCTACCGTTGATGAAATAAAGATTGGCCCCAAATATTTTTTTTTTTTCGAAACACACATATATTTCATTATCCAATGATGGGATCTAAACCACCTCTGAGACACTACCTTTCCGATGCAAAAAGAATTTTTGAAATCGGTTGACGTGGTCCAAAGTTATGCGGTGACATACATAACAAAAAAATAAATAAATATTCCGACGAACTGATAACCTCCTCCTTTTTTGGAAGTCGATTAAAAAATTTAGAAAAACTGGACCGATATTCTTAAATAAACAATTTATATATACGTATTTATTCTTTCAGGTAATGTTCCAACGCGCATGAAATTAGGTCCCAATCCATGTGCGGTCACCTGTCCCGTCTGCGGTGCCAACAAAACGACGCGAATGGTTTTCACACCCAACACACGAACGCATATTTGTGCGGGAATACTATGCTTGGCCGGGTAAGAAGGAGAGAGGAAAATCAATAAACGAAAATAATTACTTTTTACTGCCAAAGTACACATTTTTCCCAATAAAACCTTAAAACTATCTATTGTAAAAATGTATTATAAAAAAAAAAAACTAATTTATTGCATTCCATTGCAGTTTCTGTTGTTGTGCTTGTTTGGTGCCCTATTGCATGAACAGCTGTCGGACTGGCAATCATTATTGCTCACAATGCAACACGTTTCTTGGAGTTTATAATCCACGGAAAGTATGAAAGTGACGATGAAAGTGATGTTGGACTTTTCCATACATATACACATATTTATACGTATTTACGTGTGTACATATGTATGCATGTGTATGAAATGAAGTAGTGCTTAAAAAGTTGTATAACTTTTATTAAAGAAATTTAATTTTTATTTTTTTTTTTGGGAAAATATAATTCGCATACTATATATATTTATGTATGTACTATGATTATGTTTATTATATGTGCATATGTACACCTAAATAGATGGATGCATGTGTGTATAAGAAATATGTATGTATCATGGATTTTCGCTTTTAATTTAGCAATGTAATGTTTTGCTTGCTTTATGTAAACAATTGCGGCACATGCGCCGCTCTTGTGCAACCACATGCAAGTACATACAAATGTACATATCGCTAGCTTAGAGAAAAAAGTTGCTAAATCCAGTTTATATTCCTTGTGACTTGTCACTTGGAATAACAAATGTACATAGCTGAATCTAAACGGTTGGAAATTAAATAGTTAAACTCTGATTATGGCAACTTAAATTAACTTAACCTAAGTTAGAACTTAGAAAATCAAAATTAAATAGGCTTCGACGTGACATTAAGTTACTTTAAGTTCCGCCTGTCCAAATATTATCAACATCCATTTAATAAAATTTCTAAGTGACAGGCTCTAGGTTACGTTAAGTTTCCATAACAAACCTTTAGCATTTTTATTGTTCTTGCTTCTTGCATCAAAGTATACAATAATATAAAAAAGTGGACTTGGCAACTTTTTACTCTTAGGCAGCAATTTTTATAATCTTATGTATAAATAAGTACTTATTTTGCTTTAATTTGTATTATAAATTGTAACGAAAAAACAACTTGCATACATATCGCAGCTGGTGTGCGTATTATTTTTGGAACAAAGTTATTTCCTACCTAATTTAATTTAATATCTATAACAATCTAGCTATAAGAATTGTATACAAAGCATTAGTCTCTTTTATTTATAAACCGCACTAGAAAAAAGTCTAATCTGCGCAACCAAGTTGAAAACTAGCATCTAACCATCGTTGCGCACATTTGGCATTACAATCTACTGAGATTTAGAAATAAAAGAGACTGATGCTTTGTATTTTGATGTTGTGGAATGCACCCAAAATTCTGAACTAAGTAAGTGATGGAAAGGCAATTTGTATTGTTTAGCAAGCGATAACGCAGATTGTTGATTCTGTGATAAAAAATTATGTCTGGTGGTATTTAAAAACACATACATATATACATATATATACTTGCGCATATCATATGAACCTGGAAGTCTGGCGTAGCAAAACCACAACACGCCGCCAGGTACGAATGTCGCCGCGAAATTGCTCAAAAGATTAGCTGTAAGAAAGCAGCAGCCATTCCGTTGTTACTGAATATTTTTTTATTATTAAAATACCTATACGTATGTAAAAGTTTGTGTTTTACTTCAATAGAATTAACTAATTTTTTAATATGCATTAAAATAGAAGAGCTACCATTCTCCCAGCAAGGGTTTGTTCTGAGTTTGGGACCCGCCACCTAAAAACCACTTCCACTAAAGAACCAACGCAAAGGGCTATCATTATGTCTGGAAAACAGCAGCGCATATAAAAAGACATATAAATTTTTAGTTTTGTAATTGTTAAAAAATATGTACATAAAACAGCTTAGAGCGACACTCATACACAGAGCCATTTACGAACATTATTCGTTTTTTAAAATCTTAAAACTAACCAGTAACGATGTCCAAGCTCTGGCGAAACCGAACTTTATATACCTCTCGCACCTATGAAATTTTTTTTGTTTCCCTTTTCGTCAAACAACCTTTTAATAAACTTCATTTGATCAGGTATAGAGGAAAGCAATCTCCTGACGCAATATTAGCGAAAATTTTATGGTGGAGTATGAAGACGTACGTAGAACGAGATGAAGTAGTAAGTAGGGGAAGTAATAGAGCGCGACGTAAGCGATTTACTGGATTTTTTTTTTTAAATGCAAGGGCCAAATTTTGAACGCCAATATCTTTTAAAAGCTAGCTAACTTTGCAAAACCCTTTTAGTACTATCGACCTGAGTTGAAAGTTTTTCCGTTAGAAAAATTGTGTTGCACAGTGTAGTCATTACTTTTAAGTGGAAAAATAAAACTAAATATTAATTAATATCTCTGAGCCAAAAAATAAAATTCATAGAACATTTACTATTAATAAAAAATAAAAATCACTCAATAACTAATTTCGTTGAGCGAAAAAATAAAAATCATAGAATAAGGTTTAATATTTATTGTGTTTCGTCAGAATTCGAATTTTCAGGCGAAAACATAAAATTAATTACATTGTTGATATTTTTAAAACTAAAAATATAAAATCCACAGCAATTTTCACGAGTAAAAAAGCAGTCAGAAATTGTTTTCTTGGCGTTAATTGCAGGGACCAAAATTTAATCGTTATGTTTTTTTCGATCATTTTTGATCGTTACTTTATGATTTTTATTTTTTCGATCATTTTTAATCGTTATTTTATGATTTTTACTTTTTGGATCATTTTTAATCGTTATTTTGTGACTTTTATTTTTTCGATCATCTTTAATCGTTATGTTATGATTTTTATTTTTTCGATCATTTTTAATCGTTATTTTGTGATTTTTATTTTTTTCGATCGATTACGATTAAAAATGATCAAAAAAATAAAAATCATAAAGTAACGATTAAAGATGATCGAAAAAATAAAAATCATAGTATAACGATTAAAAATGATCAAAAAAATAAAAATCAAAAAGTAACTATTAAAAATTATCGAAAAAATAAAAATCATAAAAAAACGATTATTTTTGATCGAAAATATAAAAATCATAAAATAACGATTAAAAATGATTGAAAAAATAAAAATCAAAGAATAACGATTATTTTTGATTGAAAAAATATAAATCATAAAATAACGATTATACAATGATTTTTAAATAAAAATCCTTCATGATAACGATTATTTTCGGTCCCTGGTTAATTGTGGCATACCTTTTACGTCTTGTGCTTCGCTGGCAAAGTTATAAATGTCACGCAAGGTAGTGACGGTGTATGGTACTACGGGCCGTATACGTTACATACGCAAATACGGGTATACCCAGTGGGAAAAGTAGTAATGCATTATACGCGTGATAAATAATGTAATGCATTTCTTATGAGTTCTTCATTCTATTACTGCTTAATATGTAATCAGCATTCTAATGTATCCAAAAAGTTGCAAAAAGTTCATACTAAATCACATTCATTCCTGCATTGCTGGTAATGCAAAAATGAATGCCCCACTTTCCTAGGACATCGCCGTACATATTATGAAATTTTTTAAAAATGGGCGTAACCCCGCCCACTTATAATGAAATGCTGTATCTCAGTAGCCGCTTAACCCATCCTTACCAAACCCGGTGCGTGCATTGCCCAGGGTCTAGTTACGAAAACTGTTCAAAATCTTTGAAATCGGGCAATAACCACGCCCACCTGCCATGCAACGGTAATTTACAAAAACTCGAAAACTGCCATAAATCAGCAACTGCTAAGGAAAATTCACTTAAAATCGATGGTTGCAATCACCACTTAGCAGAAAATCATATTATTATACATTTTTGGATAATGGGCGTGGGCCGCCCACTTATGACCACAAATGAGTGTCTCGGTAACCGATTTATCAATTTCTACCAAACTCGGTACACTTAATAACGTTGGTACGGAAAAGAAAGATGTGAAAAATTATTCAAATCAGACTAAAATTACACCCGCTTCCCGTATAACGGTAAGTCTCAGAAATATGAAAACTCCGATATTTCAATAACTAAGTAAAGGCGCTAATTTACTCCAAGTTAAAAGTTACAACAATCTCTTAACAATAAATAAGACTGCTATAGACTTTAAGGAATTGGGCCCACTTTATGAATACAACAGTGTATCTCGGTAACCACTTCATCGATTTCTAGCAAACTGCCTAACTCAACATATTATCGAAAACGTTTGAAATCGAGAAAACAGTCCTAAGTATCGTGCAAAGGTATTTGATACCTGCACCGAGTATATAAAGTTCGGTTTCGCCCGAGCTTATACTTCTTTACTTGTTTAGTACATCTTTTTCAGTTTTTATTTAAATACAATGTCGCGTTAGAATCCTGTTCTATGTACAAAACTGCAGATCATGAATTTTCTAAAATAGGTGTATTACCAATTTCCACCAAAATATGTTTTTGTCGAAAAATTTAACAACTCGTGAGATTTGGTCATATACACTCAATTATGTGTTCGTAAATGGGCGGGGTCACACATTATGGTTAGTGGTAGTGAAAAATGGTGTTCACTGTCACTATGCACTTAGTGGTAGTGCATTTCGAATTTCAATATCACTACACGATTCGTGTAACACGAATAGTGGTAATAAAATGCTCAGTGCATTAAAAATATAGGATAGCGTGCTCAACTCTGGTCGCAAGTACCTATTAACTTGAATTAAATTTACTTCCTTAGTTATTGAAATATCGGAGTTTTCGTATTTCGGAAATTTACCGACAAATGGGAAGTGGACTTAGTTTTACGCTTATGTAGCCAGAAATTTATAAAAGTCTTATCTATTAATGAGATGTTAGTGCAAATATCGATTTTGTGTGAATTGGTTTCAGTATTTATTGATTTATCACACTTTTCGTATTTTTTAAATTGCCGGGTGGGCGTGGTTGGCAGTGTTGCCAAAACCTTTTCAGAGAAAAGGCTAAATGGGCAAAAAATAAAGCAAAAAAAAGATGAATCAAACAATTTTGAACCTTATTATAGCTTCATAACAGTGTCAATAAGAGATAAGATAAGTAAGATAAAAATAATGAATTTTTGCAAGGAACAACTTATTTTGTACTAAGTAAATATTTTTCGCAGCCTCACGAAGTCTAGGCAGAAAAAGTTTTGATTCCACCTCATTGTTCTGTAAACAGTGACGATTCGATGTGATATTTAGCCCCATCGCGTGAAAACCAGTACTTTAGTATCCTCCCAATAAACTTACCAAAGATAAAGTACTCCCACTCTTTACCCAGTAAGTACAATTTGAGGGTACCTTTCTTGCCCCACAACGAGATTCTCTGCAATATCAATATGGCCTGGTACCCAAATGAGTCTGACCGGGGAAAATTCTCCTGCCAAGTCGAGCACTTTAACAGACATTCGACTGCTTCCTTAATGCTAGTTCTGCCTGATGATAGCGCCCAGCCATATATGTAATACTCCTATATTGGCAGTAAGAGCTAGTACCGTCCGAAAACACTACAGTACAGATATATCAATAAACATGTACGAAAGAAAAGGAACATATACGTTTATAAATAAACATGTACACGACTCATATACAAAAACGGCACTCAAGTACACAATACATTGACAAAAACAGTACTAGACTGTCTCGCTTTGATTTCGGAATGCTTACACATTGAGAAGTTAGCTTACTGCCAATATAGAAGTATTACATATATGCGCCCAGCATGAAAGAATCGTCCATTATCACCGGGTATAAAAATATTGACAAAGATCCGGATTGAGATTAAGGAGAAGACGAAGGTGGTGAGGAAGATATATATGAAGAGGAAAATGAAGAGAGAGATGAAGATGAGTAGAAAGGGGAAGATGAATTCGACGATTAAGATTAAAGATAAGATAAAGAATGGGGTCAGTATCAAACAAAGCTATAATCAGGGAAAAATACGAAGACGATGATAAAGACAAAAAGAAAGGCAAATATGAAGACAAAAAAGGGAGATAGAAATAAAGGTGAAGGTAAAGAGCCAAGGGTAAATATAAAACTGAAGATTAAGATGTTTATTATCCACTCATTTTGTGCACCTTACTTTATCTTAACTCACCTCAACTGATCACTGCGACCACTAGTTAACATTGTAGATATTAATGTTCCCTCAGCCACAAACAAAAACTAAACTAAGCAGTTCATTATAACAAGTAATTAAAAAAAACACCCAACTTCAATTCTCATATAAAGAGTACCGTTAATTTCTGCATGATTCAATGATCGGATCTAAACGAAATTAGCATGATACCACCTTTCCTTTAGAGAATAGAATTATAGAAACGCGTTAATGTGGTTCAAAATTATGTGGTAACGTACATAAAAATAAAAATATTCCGACGAATCGATAACGTTCTCTTTTCTTTGAAATCGGTTAAAAATAAAAACAAAGCTCGTCCAAAAAATATTAGATATAAATTTGATGTATTTTTGAACGATTTTTCGTCATCTTTTGTCAAATTTGGTTATAAAATGGAAGTTCTTGAGCTTTACATATTTAAGGGTTCCTTTTCATTTCGGTCAAATACTTTCTGCTGTTGATTGCCTCTTTCTCTTTTCGTATTCGTGTTCTAAAAATAAAGGCAAACGAGTGAGAAATTTCTGCTACCTGCGCTTTGAAGCTTTGTAAGGGGAGATCGGTAGTATCGATGTTTTCAAATTTTCTCCACCATCGATGTTTTTCACGCCACAATCGATAGTTTTTCTCTCATCTACCGTGAAATATAAAATCTTGGCTATATTTCAGAATCCATCGTTGGTTCGAGTT